CAAAAACCCTTTTTCACTGTTATAGATTGAATAGCAGTTAGTTGTCTCAAAGCGGGTGTGTCAGCCCTACAGCGTGTACTCTGCCAACCTTTGCCAGTTCACAGTGCCACTCATATCTGGTGTCACAGTAGCTTGCATTTAAAACAAAAAACTTTTTTCACTGTTATAGATTGAATAGCAGTTAGTTTTCTCAAAGCGGTGTGTCAGGCTCACAGTGGATACTGTGCCCAGTGCCACCACTCACTCACTGGTGTCACAATAGCTTGCATTTAAAAACAAAAAACTTTTTTTTCACTGTTATAGATTGAATAGCAGTTAGTTGTCTCAAAGCGGGTGTGTCAGGCTCACAGTGGATACTGTGCCCAGTGCCACCACTCACTCACTGGTGTCATATTAGCTTGCATTTAAAAAAAATAAAAATGTTTCCACTATAATAGATTGAATAGCAGTTAGTTGTCTGCCAGCGTCTGTGTCAGGCTCACAGTGGATACTGTGCCCAGTGTCACCACTCACTCACTGGTGTCACAATAGCTTGCATTAAAAGTTCTCAAAAACTTTTCTACCGTTATAGATTGAATAGCAGTTAGTTGTTCAAAGCTGGTGTGTCAGGCCTACAGTGGATACTTCCGTGCCCAGTGCCACCACTCACCACTGGTATCACAATAGCTGCATTTAAAACAAAAACTTTTTCACTGTTATAGATTGAATAGCAGTTGTTGTCTGCCAGCGCCTGTGTCAGCTCATACAGTGGATATTGTGCCCAGTGCCACCACTCACTCACTGGTGTCACAATAGCGCATTTAAAACCAAAAACTTTTACACTGTTATTATAGATTGAATAGCAAAGCTAGTTGTCCTTCAAAGCGGGTGTGTCAGGCTCACAGTGGATACTGTGCCCAGTGCCACCACTCACTCACTAGTGTCACAATAGCTTGCATTTAAAAATAAAAAACTTTTTTCACTGTTATAGATTGAATAGCAGTCAGTGTCCTTAAAGCGGGTGTGTCAGGCTCACAGTGGATGCTGTGCCCAGTGCCACCACTCACTCACTGGTGTCACAATAGCTTGCATTTAAAACCCAAAAACTTTTTCACTGTTATAGATTGAATAGCAGTTAGTTGTCTGCCAGCGTCTGTGTCAGGCTCACAGTGGATACTGTGCCCAGTGCCACCACTCACTCACTGGTGTCACAATAGCGTGCATTTAAAAACCCAAAAACTTTTTTCACTGTTATAGATTGAATAGCAGTTTGTTGTCTCAAAGCGGGTGTGTCAGGCTCACAGTGGATACTAAATATACACAAAAAGCAAGTAAAAAGTAGGCACTCGTAATAAAGTCGTCTAGAATATAACTAATCAACAAATATATTATGAAGCTGCACCAAAAACAAGTGTAAAACTCCTCCAAACACTCATGTGAATATACTTAAAATAATAAGGTGCGCTGTGTCTTTAAGACCCAATTATACAAAGTGCAACAAGTACAAACTATGTAATAAAGTGCAAAGTGATACAAAGTGCACTTAAAGTGTGTAATATTAATATAAAATATTATACATACATATGTCCTCTCAAATGGAAATATACATAGAAAAAAAGAGAGACACAGAAAAAAACCAATAGCGTAAAACCGTATTAAAAGATAAAATATAAATTATAAATGCCAAATATTGCACTCACAAAAGTAGAGCAGAATAAGCCTCCTCTAACTTAAACAGCTTCTTCAAATATAGGACTGCACAGACGGAAATATTCCAAAATATTTATTGTACAGACGAAAATATTCCAAAATATTTATTGAGGAAGTCCCTCCCCCTGGAAGTTTGAGGAAACAGACGGTAATAACGGCGGCAAACAAACAGAGGGAATAGTCGACACCCTTATGCTGCATATAACCGAACATTCTGAAACCCAATACTGAATGTGGAGGAAGGTGACATATTTGTGCTGTGCTGGGCAATAAATATTTTGGAATATTTTCGTCTGTGCAGTCCTATATTTGAAGAAGCTGTTTAAGTTAGAGCAGGCTTATTCTGCTCTACTTTTGTGAGTGCAATATTTGGCATTTATATTTTATCTTTTAATACGGTTTTACACTATTGTTTTTTCTGTTTCTTTTTTTCTATGTGTGTGTATATTTAATTCTAGAGGACATATGTATGTATAATATTTTATAGCTATTATTACATAATAATTTTAAGTGCACTTTTGTATCACTTTTTGCACTTTATTACATAGTTTGCACTTGGTGCACTTCCTTTGTATAATTGTCTTAAAAAGACAGCTTACCTTATTATTTTAAGTATATTCATACAGTGGATATTGTGCCCAGTGCTACTTCTACTCACTCACTGGTGTCAAGCTACTGAAGGCATTTCAAAGTTCAAAAACCTCTTTTCACTGTTATAGATTTGAATAGCAGTTGTTGTCTCAAAAGCGGGGTGTGTCAGCCCTCTGGCTGTGCCGTACTCTGCCAACCTTGTTGAAGTCTATGTGCCACTCATATCTGTGTCATGTGCAGCTTGCATTTAAAACAAAAAAAAACTTTTTTCACTGTTATAGATTGAATAGCAGTTGTCTCAAAGCGTGTACTCTGCCAACCTCCGCCAGTTCACAGTGCCACTCATATCTGGTGTCACAGTAGCTTGCACGCATAGTACCACTAATCGAAAAAAAAGACAGGCAGAGGCAGGCCAACCCGCAGGGGCTGTCGTGGTCGTGGTGCTGTGATTCCCTTTTGCCCTAGAATAATGCCCAGTTTTCAGAGGCCAGGTACCCTGAACTTGAAAAGTTCTGAGGACATAGTTGACTGGCTAACACAGGAGACTTAATCTTCTACAGCTTCGGCTCGGAACCTTGACGCAACATCTCCTCCAGCTTAGCTTAGGGCACCTCTCAAGATACCACTCACCCGTCTGCCGCCACCACCAACACTAGCACCACAGCCGCTTCACTTGGTATGTCAGAGGAGTTATTTACACATCCGTTTGAAGAAATTAGTGATGCGCAACCATTATTGACAGAGGATGTAGATAACAGGGATATATCTCAATCAGGCAGCATTACACATGTACGGTGTGATGATGATGATGTTGTACCCGCTGCTGCTTCCTTTGCTGAGTTGTCAGATACAAGTGAAGCGGCAAGAAGAAGAACAGGGCGAAAATTCAGATGGGGAGACAGAGAGGAGGAGGAGACGAGTTGGAAGCAGGGGGAGGTCATCGCAAGGAGCTAGTGGTACAGTCAGACAGCATGCATTGGCACCCAGGGTCAGCCCGACAGCACGCCAATCAACGCATGCTGTGTCCACCACCAGAATGCCGTCATTGCAGAGCTCAGCAGTGTGGCATTTTTTTGTGTGTCTGCCTCTGACAACAGCGATGCCATTTGCAACCTGTGCCAAAAGAAACTGAGTCGTGGGAAGTCCAACACCCACCTAGGTACAACTGCTTTGCGTAGGCACATGATCGCACATCACAAATGCCTATGGGATCAACACATGAGTACAAGCAGCACACAAACTCAAAGCCGCCATCCTCCTCCTGGTCCAGCATCTTCAGCCACGTCAACAACTGCTGTCCTCCTTGCCCCCTCTCAACCATCCGCCACTCCGTCTCTCGCCTTGAGCAGTTCCTGCTCATCTGCCCACAGTCAGGTATCTGTCAAGGACATGTTTGAGAGTAAGAAGCCAATGTCAGAAAGTCACCCCCTTGCCCGGCGTCTGACAGCTGGCTTGTCTGTACTATTAGCCTGCCAGCTTTTACCATACAAGCTGGTGGAGTCTGAGGCGTTCAAAACATTTGTAGCTATTGGAACACCGCAGTGGAAGGTACCCGGACGAAATTTCTTTTCACAAAAGGCAATCCCCAACCTGTACTCGATTGTGCAAAAGGAAGTGTTGGGGTAAGGGTCCATCTTACCACTGATACCTGGTCTGCAAAGCATGGTCAGGGCAGGTATATCACCTACACTGCGCATTGGGTAAACCTGCTGACGGCTGCCAAGCATGGAATGCGTGGCTCTGCAGAGGAGTTGGTGACACCGCCATGACTTGCAGGCAGGCCTGCTGCCACCTCCTCTACTCCTCCTACTACATCCTCTTCCATAACCTCCTCGGCTGAGTCCTCTTCTGCTGCTGCGTCTTGCTCCACATCAATGGCACCCCCCCAGCTCCCCAGGTACTATTCCACATCCCTGTGTCGGCAGTGTCACACCGTCTTGGGTTTGACTTGCTTGAAAGCAAAGAGTCACACCGCACAAGCATTCCTGTCCGCCCTGAACGCACAGGTGGAAAAGTGGCTGACTGCACAGCAACTGGAGATCGGCAAAGTGGTTTGTGACAACGGAACAAATTTGTTGGTGGCATTGAAGTTGGGCAAGTTGACACATGTGCCGTGCATGGCACATGTGTGTAATCTGATCGTACAACGCTTTGTGCATAAGTACACAGGCTTACAGGACGTCCTGAAGCAGGCCAGGAAGGTGTGTGGCCATTTCAGGTATTCCTACACGGCCATGGCTCACTTTGCCGATATCCAGCGGCGAAACAACATGCCAGTGAGGCGCTTGATTTGCGACAGCCCGACACGTTGGAATTCAACACTCCTAATGTTCGACCGCCTGCTCCAACAAGAAAAAGCCGTTAATGAATATTTGTATGACCGGGGTGCTAGGACAGCCTCTGGGGAGCTGGGAATTTTTTTGCCACGTTACTGGACGCTCATGCGCAATGCCTGTAGGCTCATGCGTCCTTTTGAGGAGGTGACAAACCTAGTCAGTCGCACCGAAGGCACCATCAGCGACATCATACCATTTGTTTTCTTCCTGGAGCGTGCCCTGCGAAGAGTGCTGGATCAGGCCGTAGATGAGCGTGAAGAGAAAGAGTTGTGGTCACCATCACCACCAGAACCAGCCTTATCAGCATCGCTTGCTGGACCTGCGGCAACGCTGGAAGAGGATTGTGAGGAAGAGGAGTCAGAGGAGGAATGTGGCTTTGAGGAGGAGGAGGAAGACCAACCACAACAGGCATCCCAGGGTGCTCGTTGTCACCTATCTGGTACCCGTGGTGTTGTACGTGGCTGGGGGGAAGAACATACCTTCATTGAGATCACTGAGGAGGAGGAACGGAAAATGAGTAGCTCGGCATCCAACCTTGTGCAAATGGGGTCTTTCATGCTGTCGTGCCTGTTGAGGGACCCTCGTATAAAAAGGCTGAAGGAGAACGACCTGTACTGGGTGTCCACGCTAATAGACCCCCGGTATAAGCAGAAAGTGGCTGAAATGTTACCAAATTACAACGAGTCGGAAAGGATGCAGCATTTGCAAAATAAATTAAAAACTATGCTTTACATAGCGTATAAGGGTGATGTCACAGCACAACGGGAATCTAACAGGGGAAGAGGTGAAAGTAATCCTCCTCCTCCCACGACCACGCCGGCAAGGACAGGACGCTTTACAGATGTGTTGTTGATGGAGGACATGCGGAGCTTTTTAAGTCCTACGAATCGCCACAGCCCTTCTGGATCTACCCTCAGAGAACGACTCGACTGACAGGTAGCAGACTACCTTGCCTTAACTGCAGATATCGACACTCTGAGGAACGATGAACCCCTTCACTACTGGGTGTGCAGACTTGACCTGTGGCCTGAGCTAACCCAATTTGCGATAGAACTTCTGGCCTGCTCCGCTTCAAGTGTCCTGTCAGAAAGGACCTTCAGTGCAGCAGGAGGTATTGTCACTGAGAAGAGAAGTCGCCTAGGTCAAAAAAGTCTAGATTACCTCACCTTTATTAAGATGAATGAGGGATGGATCCCGACGGGACTGACAGTGGGCGATACATCCGACTAAAAAAGGCCTGATGAGATGAGCTGCCTTGTGCTAAAAATGGTCCACACGCTGCTGTATTTTAGCTCTGAATGCCGGTTGACTTGCGTGACTTATCCGCCACCAACTAGGGTTCAAGCCGCAATGTTTTAGGGCAGTGCTCCCCAACCTTTTTATCGCCGCGGACCGGTAAACGTTTGATCCACGTACCGGTCCGCGGCCCGGGGGTTGGGAAACACTGTTTTAGGGCACTTTCTGCCTGGGAAACAAACATCAATTCTTCTGGCCGCTGCTACAGCAGCGGCTGCAACAATACCTAATTTTTCAGGCATGTGTACATGCCTAATTTTTCGGGCCTCTGGTGCTGCACTGTGGTTTCAAAAACCAAACCAAAAAAAAGGCACATAACAGGGATTAAACTGATAAGAATAATACTACTTAACACACCTTATAATAACGCAGAGAGAGGCAACGCAGAGAGAGGAGTCTGAAGAAGAGGAGTCAGAGGAGGAAGGTGGCTTTGAGGAGGTGGAAGACCAAACACAGCAGGCGTCCCAGGGGGCTTGTTGTCACCTTTCGGGGACCCTTGGTGTTGTACGTGGCTGGGTGGAGGAAGAGACCTTCAATGACATCAGTGAGGACAAGGAACGGGACATGGCTAGCTTGGTATCCAACCTTGTGCAAATGGGGAGTTTGCGGTTTTGCAAATGGACTGTTTGCGGTTGTTTGCGGTGCGTTAAACGGGGAGTTTGGTCTGTCACTGTGAAGCGGGCGTAACCCTTACACTACCTGATCGATACAACATCATACAGTAGGTCCCCCCCTCATTATTTTTATGGCCCCCACCCACCGCTAACGAGTGGGGGCGGGCGGGAGGACAGTAGGTCCCCCCCCATTGAGATTTATGGGCCCCACCCACCATGCAGGGGTGGGGGCCAGGGGGGAGGACAGTAGGTCCCCCCTTATCCTTATTTACTGAATATTCCCCTGTATAACAATGTTTGGCATTTAGTGAATATTCCCTATTCTGCTCTGTGTCAGTGTGTATCAGGGATCCTTGGACAGGTGTCAATCCATATCTGCCAAGTGACCCTATGTAGGGGGAACAGTCTCTATTCTGCTCTGTGTCAGTGTGTATCATGATCTCTGAGGACAGGTGTCAATCCATATCTGCCAAGTGACCCTATGTAGGGGAACAGTCTCTATTCTGCTCTGTGTCAGTGTGTATCAGGGATCTCTGAGGACAGGTGTCAATCCATATCTGCCAAGTGACCCTATGTAGGGGGAACAGTCTCTATTCTGCTCTGTGTCAGTGTGTATCATGGTCTCTGAGGACAGGTGTCAATCCATATCTGCCAAGTGACCCTATGTAGGAGAACAGTCTCTATTCTGCTCTGTGTCAGTGTGTATCATGGTCTCTGAGGACAGGTGTCAATCCATACCTGCCAAGTGACCCTATGTAGGGGGAACAGTCCCTATTCTGCTCTGTCAATATGTCATATGTCAGGTATCAATCCATATCCATTGTGATTTAGGAATGTTAGGTGATTTCTGCCCTTTATGGATTAAGACCAGACTCTGAATCAACTGTGTAATTTTCCATGGGAGTTTTGCCATGGATCCCCCTCCGGCATGCCACAGTCCAGGTGTTAGTCCCCTTGAAACAACTTTTCCATCACTATTGTGGCCAGAAAGAGTCCCTGTGTGTTTTAAAATTCACCTGCCCATTGAAGTCTATGGCAGTTCGCCCGGTTCGCCGGTTCGCGAACATTTGCAGAAGTTCGGGTTCACCGTTCGCGAACCGAAAATTTCGTGTTCGCGACATCACTACATGCAAGTAGGGCCCTTATCCTTTTCTAAAAAGCATGTTAGCCAATTTTATATTGCTTGTGTAGGGATAGTTTGCTAGGCAATTCTCTTCTTTTTTGTGGCAAAGAGAGAATTTTGACAAAAAGCAAAGAGACTGCACCCATAGCCCCCTAGACTCCAAGACATACACACTGATGCTCTGCTTGAATGCACAGCTACATTTACACAACTCTTTGGAATTACACAGATATTGTATTAGCGTGACAATTTGGTGTGTGAGAATGCTGCTGCATCATTTACTTCAATAAAGCCTTGTTAAATGGTGAAATTAGTTTTACCACTGTTATATTTGTTCTTATTACATTTTAAAAATATAAGATTTGTGAATTTATATTATCCATAGATCATTTTGTTTTCTTCTGGCAACTGAACATCATATTCCTTTGTGGGAAATGCACCACCGATGCACTGTATATTGAGCAAAACTATTCTTTTTTTTCCACAGCAGTGAGTACTTTTTCGATTACTCTGTACTTTTCATAGTTACTGTGAACGCTATATTTGATTTCAGTTTTTATCCACATATCACCACGCTGAGGATGCTATCCACCAATATATCCAAGAGTGGTTATTATACTATTTCAAGCTATTTACTGGGAGCCATCAGAAGGCTCCATTAAATGTGAGTGTCATTCCACAGACATATCCATCCAGTCTCCAGCATTTGTTAGTAGCAATAATCAGCATGGTTTTATGAAACCTAGGTCATGCTAAACTAACCTGATTGCATTCTACGAAGACGTAAGTAGAAGTATAGATCAGGGTGTTGCAGTGGATGTGATCTACTTAGATTTTGCCAAGGCATTTGATAGGGTTCCTCACAATAGGTTAGTCTTCAAACTAAAAGAAATTGGTCTAGATGAATATTCTTGTTCTTGGATAGAACATTGGCTTAAGGAGAATGAGTTGTTATTAATGGTAAATTTTCAAGCTGGACAAAAGTGGTAAGTGGCATCCCTCAGGGTGCTGTTTTGGGACCGCTTCTATTTAACATATTTATAAATGTTCTTGCAATAGGCATTGAAAGCCATGTTTTAGTGTTTGCAGATGACAAAAGTAAAGTAATAAAATGTGAACAGGATATTGCTTTGCTGCAGAGGGATTTAGATAGATCAGGGACTGGGCACTAAAATGGCAGATTAAATTTAATGTAGAGAAATGCAAAGTTATGCACTTCGGGGTCAAGAATGCACAAGCAACGTACAACCTAAATGGTAGTGAAATAGGGATAACCACACACGAGAAGAATTTTGGAATTGTTATGGACAACAAATTAGGCAACAATATGCAATGTCAATTTGCACTTGGTAAGGCCAGTAAGGTTTTGTCATGTATATATAGAGGCATAAATTCTAGGGATGAAAATATAATTTTGCCTCTTTATAAATCGCTGGTAAGACCACACCTTGAATATACTGTGTAATTATGGGCACCTGTTCTCAAGAAGGATATCATAGCACTAGAAAAAGTGCAGAGATTAGCTACAAAATTCATAAAAGGAATGGAGCACTTCAGTTACAAAGAAAGTTACGAACAAAAAAACAGCACCTCAGAGGGGATATGATAACATCATACAAATATATTCAGGCCAGTACAAACCATTATCTGGAAATCTATTCATAAACAGGGCTAT